TATGGCTTCTCCTCTGGGTGAATCCTTTTATGGGAAGTAAGTTGGCTCCTATTTCTGAACCTCTTCCCACATTCTCTGCATTTGTATGGCTTCTCCTCTGGGTGAATCCTTTTATGGGAAGTAAGTTGGCTCCTATTTCTGAACCTCTTCCCACATTCTCTGCATTTGTATGGCTTCTCCTCTGGGTGAATCCTTTTATGGGAAGTAAGTTGGCTCCTATTTCTGAACCTCTTCCCACATTCTCTGCATTTGTATGGCTTCTCCTCTGGGTGAATCCTTTTATGGGAAGTAAGTTGGCTACTATTTCTAAAACTCTTCCCACATTCCACACAGTTATAAGACTTCTCTTCTGCGTGGATCCCTTTTTGAGATGTAAGGGACCTATTTCCAGGAAAAAGCACGGAAGTCCCTAGGTAATTTTTTCTATTATGTCTTCTTATAGCATCTTCTCCTTTGTTTTGGATGGGATAGTGTTCATTTCCATGTAATTTAGTTTTGATTTGGTTCATATTTTTCCAAAAACCTTTTTTCCTTGTTTTCACTTTTGGGGCAAGAAAGCCTTGTGTTAGAGCATTAATGCAAGATGAGCTGTCCTGACTCCGATTATTTGATTGCTTTCTCTCATTGCCTTCTGCTTCCATCTGAATTGCAGACTTCTCCATTCCTTCTCCATCATTGAAGTCTTGGAATAGTACACAGGAATCTTGACTTTCCTGCCCATTATCATCTTCAAAGGAAAAGAAAAATGAAAATGGTAGCAGTATTAGTAATAAACATCAAGTTGTAGGAATTCATATATACATACATATATATGTGTGTGTGTATGTGTGTGCGCGCGCACAAACATCACCCAAAATCAGCTTTGAGTTAAGGAATAATCCATAGTATGAAGTATAAGATACATTGGAGCAGGCTAATTGTAGCAGAGACCTATTAGAATGCAAAGTCCTTTTCCCCTCTATCTAAACGAATTTCCCAGTGCTATTCATTTTCTCTTGCCGAAATACATAGCTGCAGAGAGAAAAAACAGGAGTCGTTCTATTAACCCTCAACACAATGTTTCCAATGGGGTAATAGCATCATTTAGCCCTGTGAGGATGAAATATTTGTTGAAACTACAGAAATTTTGGTGGGCGTGATCATGCAATATTGAAATTCAACATTATGCAAGTACAAGCAATAGAACAAAGTCAAACTAGAGTCTTGGACTTTAAGATAGCTAATTTCAATAAACATAGAGCTCGGGAAGGATTCCATGGATCAGAATCCTCAAGGGGAAAACAATTCAAGAAGCTTAGGAAATTCTGAAAAGTGAGATTATAAAAGCCCAGTCTAGTACAGTACAAATGAAGAAGAAAAATAACAGCCCTCAAAAATAGCATGGCTGCAGAAAGAACTCTCTGACAAATTGAAAGACAAAAAGGGCAAGTATAAAAATTGGAAAGAGGAGCACAATAGAAAAAATTACCTAGGGACTTCCGTGCTTTTTCCTGGAAATAGGTCCCTTACATCTCAAAA